GGGAGAGCCCCGTGGAGGACAGGAAGGAGGTGGGCTGTCAGAGTGAGGCAGTGCAGGTGGATGTGCTGAATCAGCAGCTCAGCTGGAGACACTCAGGTGAGACTCATGCGTGATCTATGACCGTTATATGAGAAACACGGAGCTTCAAACTCAGGTCCAGTGTAACATTGAATAGAATAGAATATCTCTGTTTATTGTCACTGTTACAAGAAAAACGGAACACAGTGTGGCATCTTTCCATTGTGTGTAATACACAACAACATAAGTATCTATGACATAACACCGAGTGACCTCAGTCCTGCTTACAGCAAACACATCCACACACTGCCTGTGGCTCTTGTGGTCGGAGCTCACATCTGCGCTCAGCATAAATCCGTCCTTCCCTCTCTCTCACAGGTCTTCCGGGTCCTGATACGTCAAAGCCCCCTGCTGACTGCACGGCAGAGGAGATGCTAATGGCCGTTCACTCTCGGTTTATGGACAAAGTGTCCGAAGCTGTCCTGAGCAGGCTGCTGGATAAACTCCTGGAGCACCGCATCATCATCGATGATGAAATTGATTTAGGCAGAGCGGATGGAAGGGTGAATAACGCCCGACGGGTGATCGACATGGTGCGGAGAAAAGGATCCCAGGCCTGCTCGGCTCTGATCGCCGCTCTCTGCAAGGTGGATCCGTTTCTTTCAAAGGAGCTGCAGCTTATGTGACGCACTGCCAGATGTTTTCCATCAGACACACAGATCAGCACTCACAGGAGGGCAAATTATGACCCATCTGTAACACTCAGAAGCAGCTAATACCTTTCAGTATTCAATCGTCCAATCCACTTACAGAGTGGAAACTTGAGCGCTGGCTCGTCTATTTGTTTTGGTTTTCACATCAAAGGTTTTCACAGAGACGATTTTCTATGCGTCTTTATTGCTTTATACAAACAAAGATGTTCCAAACAGCAGAACATGGCAGAGTTTCAGCAGGTTTCAAGACTGAAGTGTTCCAGAAATTAGATCTTGAGTCAAACCTGAACAATGAGCTCGGTGAAAAAGTCCAACAGAAACCAACAGATTAATGAAGATTTTGGCTGTTTTCATGATGTTGAAGTAAAACGTGTCAGACAGCAGAGGATCGGACTGTTTTGTGTGTTTCTTTCTGTATCTCTGATCAACGTGAAAATAAAAGATGAGTTTCCTGTCACCGTGTCTGGTTCCGTCTGGATTTGTAAAATAACCTTGAACATATTTAGTAACTGACAGTCATAAGTATCAATAATTGCAGGTTTTCACAAATATTCAGAGATGTTGTGGTGAGTCAAGAAGCTAATAACCATCCACACCTGGACCCTAGTGAACTGTGACCTGCAGTGAGCGGGGGTGGAGGTGACGGGGAGTGATGGTGAGCAGGTGCTCTGACTTCATGATCTGAACAGGACTCTGTGATGGATTTGTTACAGGCAGGGAGCTCTAATCTGTCCATCTTCATCTTCTACGTCAGAGAATAAAGAGAAGCCAAAGATTCAGTTACGGATATCCCGACAGTGCCCCAGTGAAAGGTTCAAGTAAACTAAACCTCCTGAAGGAGGGCAGTAGGGGTTGTTCAGATCTT